TAATCAATTATTATCAATTTATTTTAGTAAATTAGTGCCAGAATTAGCTAACATTAATTGATTATTACAAAACACACTTAACTGTTGCCCAACTTACTAAAGTAGTGCCCATGTTATCTATAATCAATTATTATCAATTTATTTTAGCAAATTAGTGCCAGAATTAGCCAATATTCATTATTATTACTAAACACACTTAACTGGTGCCAAACTTACTTAAGTAGTGCCCAACTTATCTATAATCAATTATTATCAATTTATTTTAGCAAATAGTGCCAGAATTAGCTAACATTAATTGATTATTACAAAACACACTTAACTGGTGCCCAACTTACTAAAGTAGTGCCCATGTTATCTATAATCAATTATCAATTTATTTTAGCAAATTAGTGCCAGAATTAGCTAACATTAATTGATTATTACAAAACACACTTAACTGGTGCCCAACTTACTAAAGTAGTTCCCATGTTATCTATAATCAATTATTATCAATTTATTTTAGCAAATTAGTGCCAGAATTAGCTAACATTAATTGATTATTACAAAACACACTCAACTGGTGCCCAACTTACTAAAAGGCAGTGCCCAAGTTATCTATAATCAATTATCAATTTATTTTAATACATTAGTGCCAATATTCATTGATTACTGCTGAACACATTTAACTGGTGCCCAACTTACTAAAGTACCCAAGCATAATCAATTATTATTAATTTATTTTATTAAATTAGTGTCAGAATTAGCTAATATAATCAATTATTATTAATGTATTTTATTAAATTAGTGCCAGAATTAGCTAATAAACTGTACAAAATTAAGGGTGATATTCGCAGACTGGATAAGACAGCCACAGGCCTTGCAGCACCTAGTCTCCTAAGCTAGGCCCACCAGCACCAGTCACGTAGGACCGCCCTAGGCTAGGACTAGCTAGATTACAATAGGTAGGCTAGATGAAGAACTGACTAGGCCCTAAGGGTTTACCTCTACCTAGGCTAGCAGAAGCCCTTATATAATAATATTTTGGCCTGCCCTAAATGTTTATGAAACTGATGTTTCTGTTTTTCCAAACTTATCTTTGATCGGTCTCACTCACACATGACACCACCTTTGTTTTGGTGTGTGTGATGTGTAGGGTGTCTGGTATGAATATTTATATATACCATGGAGGTATTATTGAGAAGGAGATCACTCAGCAACCGATCCCTTTGACGCGACAAACCCATGTGTTCCCGGCCTTTGCATCGCGCGCAGGCATATTATTACCCTATAATTCACATGTTTTCATTAGCAACAACTTGGCAACGACATGCATTTATACGCTTCCAGCAGAGCAGTTGTGCAATTTAGCAAATTAGTGCCAGAATTAGCTAACATTAATTGATTATTACAAAACACACTTAACTGGTGCCCAACTTACTAAAGTAGTTCCCATGTTATCTATAATCAATTATTATCAATTTATTTTAGCAAATTAGTGCCAGAATTAGCTAACATTAATTGATTATTACAAAACACACTTAACTGGTGCCCAACTTACTTAAGTAGTGCCCGAGTTATCTGTTATCAGTTATTATCAATTTTAGTAAATTAGTGCCAGAGTTAGCCAATATTCATTGATTACTACTAAACACACTTAACTGGTGCCCAACTTACTAAAGTAGAGCCCACGTTATTTATAA